GATCATTTGGCAAAGTGAGGGAGCATTTTTTTCAAAAGAGATTGTGCATAATGTACTATTTTGTCGACTTGTTCACTGTTATGAAGAATTTCTATACGGTGATAACTGAAATGATCCAATCTGCCTAAATTCATCAGTATCAGCACACGATCGGAAGAGTTTCACAGCCAAAACTATTACAAAGGGTTGTTTCAAAAGAAACTTGGTCGCCACATGATCGGGGTTTGCATGCCATCACGTCTCAAGATTTTGCTCTAAAAAACTAGTTTTCGTTACAGTGTTTCTGCGAGGTAACCAGACTAGTCAGGAAACCTCCTTCCATTAACGTAAAGGTGCTCAAAAATCAGCAGTAGCTGAACATCACTTATGGAATTTCGCAATGTGTCGTAATAATTGAGGCGCAGTTTAACCCCATACCCTTTCCCTTTGCATTTTTCTTTAATCTGCGAATTTAGAATGCCTGGTAACAGCTTTCTTAATAAAGGATTTTCAAAGACCATTCAGTATCGCCTAAACTGGAAACCGACGTATCATGAAAACGTGTCATTGCCTGAGATGCAGGTCAACTGAGAAAGAAAGGAAACATATAGGTTATAAATCACCTATTTTACGTATAGATACACCATGAAAGAAGGAGTGTTTTGTTTGCATCAATACTGGGTAACTTTGCGCCCTTACTGTAAATCGTAAAAAACGTCGATTTGTTTGCAAAGTTTAAGCTGGATAGATCGTTAGTTCTCTGTTTCTAAAAATTCTCAATAATGTGTTTAGCCTGCAGATAACTGGATTGCTGCCAAGCTATATCATCGTGTTCTCCGTGCCACACCTTACAGCTTGCGTGAATAAATATTTACCTTGAACCACGATACTATTTCTCATGGCAGCGATGATATCTAAAGATTTAAACCTGATTGAACGATCAGCACTTAGCGTTGAATTCTCAGGCTAACCCTTTTATTGCAGTTTGTTGCATGAAGCAAAAAGCCATATGCCTTCATGTAGTTAATTTATCTCTGTGTCATGCTGTTAGCCACAAAATAAATACATTAGTCTCGGATATGGATAACAGGACTGACCATGTATTTATAAGTCCTTGTACTCTGTGTATTAGAAACTGCTACCCAGCGATTCCATATGTTGGATTTGCAATGGTATCACATCAGTAACAGCGCTTTAGCTACACCGGACTACAGTTATTAAAAATGTGGTTGCATTTCGTTGTTTAGACTGGTTATCCAATTGAATGCCTTAAATCAAATAAAACCTTATTATTCCCAATGTGTTTCCATTTTTATATTGACTTAAACAGCTGCACTTCTTTTCAAGGTAACGGTCCTGCTGCTGTCAGGAATTCCAGGTTTCTTCGTCTCCCATGCCAGCCCACAGTACTACCCATGCCAAATGCAATCGTTTTTTGCTCGAATGTACGGCTCTGGTGGAGGAAATCTTCTTCGGGTTCATTTGAATAACAGAGGTATACCCACCGACGTGACATTCAGGGGCACTTGTGACAGCGCCACCTTAAAATTTACAAGTAAGTTTGAAGTTTGTCGGTAGATCCATTCGATATAATTCTGCATTTCTCCATCTCAAATCATGATGTATACCATTGTATGTCTGGCCCCAGTTGGTAAAACACGATTTAATTTAACACCAAGATTAATGAACTGAGATATACACTGTAACCGAGTCCTTTTTCTCTTTTCGTCTTTCACGTACCGAAGCGAAGAAGCGTTTTGATCGTGAAAATAAAAGAAGGAAAAACTTACGTAGCTGTCATGCAACTGGGACCAGAGAACCGTGTATTCTTAATGATGTTCACTTGCATTTTTGCATAAAAACGATTTTATATATACTTTCCCCTAATGTACATGCTTCCATTTAGCTTTCAAAATCCCTTCACAAATCCGTTCTTATCTTTGTATGCTTGTCTTCATGAACATTTCAAGACTTCACTGAAAAGCGAATGGACATCAATGGCACAGTAGTAGTCTCCTACCGATGGGCAGAAAATGAACATTATGTTCTGGCTGTAAAACAAGGAACTCTAGTTGTTAAGGTAAGAGGATGCACTGTGCTATCCATGGGAATTCATTGTTGCTGTTTTTCTGGTGACAACTCATCCCCATTTGGCTGGCTTTTTACATTTTTTTTTTTTAAATCTATTTTCAACATCCAGTTTGCTCCTAAAGCTGACCTCTCCAGAAAACATTGGTTCATTCTGAAGTCGGCCTGTGAAGAGTGTTATACAGGACTGAACAAACTGGAAACGTTCTCAAAACCGCATTTGTACGTGAAGTCGGATTCGTCTGGATTCCCTTTCATGGAAGCAGTCGCGGGGAGAATGGCATGGTTTGACATGAATTCTGCTTGCCCCTGATTTGAAGGTTGAAAACATGAACCGCTTTTTCATTAAACCGATGTTTCCGGTGAAGAGAAAAAAATGGATCGATCGTCAATAAGCGGTAAGAGAAGTTGCCGTACCCTTGATCGATGCGAAGCAGGAACATGCCATGAACATGTTATTCCCACACAAAAAAGAACAAGATTTGAGTTGTTTTTTATACCTTTTAAATTTTACCCAACATGCTTCACTTAAACAATGATGTGCGTCGAAGTTAACACTTTTAAACGAAGAAATATATTGAAGATAGTTTATGTCCCTTATCATAGAAATAAATAAAAGAAGCTAAAATATCAAATTAACTGAAATGACTAATATCATGGCCATTCCATGCTATTTTAAACGATATCCATAGACTAGACTTCATTTAGACGGATGATAGAATTGTTTGTTAAGGTTAGAATTGTTTGTTAAGGTTCTAGCTGTGGATTAAAAACAAAAGCAATTTATCTTTAAGATCATAAATAGAATCGGTCGTAGGCTACCACATAAGTTTAGTCTTTTCCAATGAAGTGATCTATGAATACACAATATATTTTCTTCTCGGAGGTAAATCCTTTGCATATAAATTATGCTAATAATTTGTGCACTGTATTGCAGATTGAAGTGAACAAATGGGAAAATGATACAAAAACTGTGTTTCATGAGTTTCCTTATTTTGTACTAAGAAAAGTAAATCCAAATTTTCAGATCATCTATTTTGTTCCATACCGTTTTAGTGAGGTTAATTTTTGGCCAATCTACAGACCTAGCCTAAACATTATCAAAACTTTAACGAACTTTAAAATCGTATTTACCTTGAATTTACAAACATACATGCAGTTACTTGTTCATACCACGCTTTCACGGTAACCGTCTTGAGCCGGGCAACCGATTTGAGAAATTGGTCGTGATTGATATGGAGACCTCTTTCTAATACTACTTCATCGAGAGAAATTAATACTAACCTTGTTCTGCTTCTGTTTGCGTTTAAACGGAAGAACAAAGACCTTGTTCCACCTGTTAGACCCCAGTTTGTTCCACATTTATTATTCTTATCTTCGCCAGCCGTGAAATAGCGATGTCTTATTTTGACTAATCGTTTCATAAAGCAATTCAAACAAAACTATTTCAACGAAGGATACAAACTGTACTTACAACTCTGCTCTTAGGCCTTACCTCAGTTCACCTCAAGCGTTACTGCAATTTCCCCTGATTTTCTCCTCCTGTAAAGTATTCATACTTTTAGGGCAAGAAAGGCATTTTTCCTTTTCGAATCTAGGTGAAGTATTGTCCAAAGCGCTGCGAGGCGTAAAGGTATTTGTAAAATTAATTCTCTCCGTTTGACACAATCACTACGAAGTCAATTTCAACCAATCGTAAATCGCGAATGTGGCCACCGACCGAAACATGGTCGTGGTATCCTGGTGACACAGTTTTGTGTGGCTGGTAGTTTGTGGGCCCAGTTTGAGATAGTGATAAAGTCCGAATAAAATCTCATTGTATTTATATTCATATCATAAAGGCCACAAATGACCCAGAAAATTCTGAATTAGGTTTGCCTTAAAAGCAAACTATGTTTACAAATTTTCTTTATTCTTACCTGCGATTACAAGAAGCAGTTCGTGTAATCGTGTAATATTTGTGTCTTGTCAAGTTTTCTAGTGGAAATAACAGAAATTAATGTTGTCTATCTGGGGTTGTCAGTTTTAACGTGAAATAAAAGTTTGGATCTAATTTTTTCGCGTCACGGCTGGCTTGTTGTGTTCTGCAACTTTTTTCTCTATAAGAAATGAGAGCTTTTTTTAGAGAAATTAATAAAATATGTAAATAAATACTGTGACTTACGTGCTGCTATTACTAAAAAAGCCGTATAGATATATTTTGTACTTATTTAGGCTTTCCTGCTATGTAGGTCTCATTCACAGTTCAAAAATGTAAAAGAAATACGACTGAAGACTGATTACGACGCGAAAACGTTCGTTTAACCTAACAGGTACCAGTCCCTTAGAAGAAAAGGACTAGTTTACGGTCGAGTGAGAGCTTTCCTGCTATGTAGGTCTCATTCACAGTTCAAAAATGTAAAACATGTCCCTGTTTGAAAGCTTTGGTCGACTTCCAAGTTACGTTTTAGTACATTTTCTATGACATAGCATGGCTTCGGCTTCAGGGCCCCCTTTTCCGTTTTAGTCGTTGGCGCATTTATCTGGCATTTCTTGCCTTTCTTCGAAACGAATCTCGTAAGTGCAAACTGCCACCTGCTCTGATCGTCATTTTTTCAATGTGTAACCTGCTTTTCGGGCAGTGGATTCGTCCCAACCCCTTTCTAAATGACGTAATATCGGTAAAAATGTAAGAGAACCTTTAAGGTTGCTGTTTGCACCGGCACGACGGTGACACCTCACGTTAAAAAAAAATGCGGTCAGACAGTTTTTGCAGCGGAAATGTCCTTAACTACACTGTCGATCAAGTCTTCTTTTTCCAAGACACGGTGCTCTCGAATGCTTGATCAGTTTCGTTGCTCTACCAGCCGGCTTGAGCTCTTGAAGCGTTAAAAGACCAGATGAACCTCAAAAGAAAGTAATTAATTATTCAGCGGCGTAGAGACGTTTAAGGGCCTGAAGTTGAAAGACGCGAGCCATATTCGCCGACAGCTTTGCAACTGCAAGGGTAAGCACTATGGCACTTTGCTTTTTACTTACTTTATACTTGCTTTTTACATTTTTGTTTCCTCTCAGGAATAGCCATATCGTTTGGTAATTACTTTTCACAACATTCTGGGTCCCCCACTGGCTTTATTTATAAATTTCAGTGTAGAATGAGTTACGATATTTTGATTTAAGACACTTGTTTTGGATTTATGGGGATACATTAATTGTTGCTTGATCTGTTTACATCCGTAATTAAAAATAAGCATACATTATTTCTAGGACATTGTTAAAGTTTACTCTTTTGGCTCTAAACATTGTTATTATTTTTCTCTCCCTCTTTTTAAATTTCAAATTTAGCAATAAATAAGGCGCTTTTGTTTCCAGTCAAGGATTTCATGGTCACCGAATGATTCGCGTACGAAAACGCTTTCCGGCTTTCAATCTCATCGAAACCTCTTAGATGGCTAGAAAAAAAAATTATGTGATTGCAAATAAATTGCATCTGAGAACGACAACGCAATCCATTACTAAAGGTTCGCTTGTTGCCCAGAAAGTCTTGATAAGTTCGCTGTTGATTTACCGATACTGTTTTTGACATAATGATCTTTGGGATACTAGCCTTTCTGTTTTGTCGAGTTATAGAGATTTAACGGACGCTAAAATAATCGTTTTTAAGCAAGAATCAGGTTTTTTTTAACACAAACGATCTCACCACTTCGGATACACGTATTCTAATTTATGATGCACATATTAAATGTGGAAAGGTAGATAAAATTAAGAATCAAGCATTTTTTTATCAGACATGTTTAAGTCCTCTTATAAAACTGTTGTGCTCTTTCTTCACTTTTCTCGTAGTTTGTTTTCATTTTAGTGTGTTTTCTTTCGTGTAGTTTTCATAGCTTCGTGAACTTTGAAAAATATCACTTTTACCACTACATTCGTCGACCAAATGCAAAATTATTAAACTCGCTCACGGGCAAGTTTGAAGTGGCATTTTTCTTTACTGTTTGACCCATATTTTTTTCATGATTGCCCAGAGAATTCGGTGGTTAAACGAGACAACGTCCTCTGGTTGATGATTTTCTTTATTCTCACAACCTGTCTGCTTGTCAGTGTCATGATATTGCGAAGAGAAATTAGATGCCAATCTATGGGAAATAAAATTGCTCAGGGAGTCTCAATAAGTGGCATAACAAAAATGTCCTTTTTCTCTTGTTAGATGGGTTTACGCTTACTGCTGGTGTTGGGTTCCGTCCTCTACATCGCTTCACTCGCCTCAGCGACGTCACTCGGTAAGACGTTTAACGTGTGTTTAGCACAAACAGTTCATTATCTCACTGGCTATTACTGCATCGGATTCATTGCAGCTGCAAAGAGCTTCCTCGGCAATTTCTTAGACAAGAAAAAAAGGCATGCAAAAAAGTAATACGGAATAAAGCCAGGAGGGAAAAGTGAAATTATGATGTGACTTTTTTATCACGGTGTTAATACTCTTTGAACTGAAAATGACCAGCCGTGTGCTAGTTGAATGGAACGATCGTCTTTGATTGGTCAACTGAAGGTGACCCGTTCTATTTCTGGCTCAAGACGACACCGTTAATCATTCATAAGTAATGAGGAGTTCTGTTGAGGAATTCTCGGTTTGCTTTTTTTAAAAAAATCATGGAAAAGCTGCTTTCATTTTATAGATTCAAGATAGACTAGTTTATTACATTAATTTGTCTGTAGAGTAAGAACTTCATGGACAGAAAACCTTTTCGAGTCCATTCCCTTAAGGATTAAGTTTAACCCTATGTCCCTCGCAGTGCTTTTCATTTCTATATTTCTTATTCCAGTGGACTGCGAATAGATTGAGGGCTTCATAGATAAAATCATTTGGAGTGGCATTTCCTAATTAAACCAGCTATACCTTTCTCATAGTCGAAATAAAATTCTCTGTACTGAGCTAAAATTCTCTGTAGCTGACGATTTTCTAAGTTCTCGTCATCCGATTGTTGTCAGAGTATTGCAAGAAGAAAGTAAGGGCTGTTTTGTTCACCTTGAAAGGTGCATCGCTTTGTAGAACAACAAACCGAAATAATTAATTCAGTTAATGGCATAATACCTGTTGTCATAACTGGTCATAATATTTGAGCTGCTTGAAAAAAAACCTCTCATCCGTTTAAAGTTTTTGGCTGCAGATCCTCGCAATTCTTATGTGTTTGTCTTTTTTTTTTCTTTGTTGCAGAACAACTACGGCACTACAAAAGAAGCCCCAATCCGTGTCCGCCAGGATGTCCCGCATCCTGTGCTCCTTCTTGTAATGTACAATGTTGTCAACCCGCTCCTCCACCACCCCCACCCCCACCACCTCCACCACCACCTCCCCCTCCCCCGCCACCACCTGGTCCTCCCGGAATGGATGGACCAATGGGACCACAAGGACCACCCGGACCAGATGGCCCTAAGGGGCCTTCCGGGCCCATCGGACTTCCAGGCCCTGTCGGTCTTCCCGGACTTCCCGGGGCCCCAGCAGGTAGGCATTGTAGAGAGTCTGGATGTCTCAACTACCAGTGTATTTTGCAGATCTCGAACTCAGGTGTAAATTTTCAAAAACGGTTCAATTGTAATCTGACAGCGAAAATTTCGAACAACTCTCAGCTCTCAGTTCTACCTCATTGTGCCTCATTGTGCCTCATTGTGCCTCATTGTAACGAACGAGTACAAGATATTTCCGAGAGGAAACTAACTGTAGGCACATGTAAAGAAAGAGAGTTATGCAACAAGCACCAGAGCTGGCCAGGCGTAAAAATATGAATGGTGATGTAGAAGTATGGAAGTATTGTTCAATAACGAGAGACCAGTGAGAGAAAATCAGCGGCCATCTGCTTGCAGGAATAATGTATGTCGCGTATGTTGTGCGTAGTAGAGGTGACTACACGACTTACTCTTGTTCAACCGATTGTGTTTCTCCAACCATAGGTCCCCCCGGACGTGATGGCCCCATGGGACCTCCAGGACCCCCCGGAAACCAAGGCGCGCCAGGCGATGCTGGACCACCTGGTTAGTCAATAATTGTTACTAATTGTGCAAATAAAAGATCCAATAAAAGGATTCTGAAAAGCATCAAATTACAACCCGATTATAGGTAAGATCCGTGATCCAAATTTTTCTTAAGATAAAACCTCAAAATTGCCAAACCGAACAAAGTTGGGACATGTTACAGGACGCCTGTCTATTATGCTGCCGAGAGTGCAACTTCTTACGAGAAAACTTGGGCTGCTGGCTTCTAAATCCAACAACTTTTCTCAAAGATTTAGCGTCTTCGATTTGTTATCTCAACTGAAACTGAAACCATACATTGCATTTGTAGCCGAACAGTGCCACATGTTCCAAATTGCGGTGACATGTTACTTGAATTAGAATAGAGCCCTTTCTGCAATAATTTCCCACAAGTTTTTATTTTTTGTTGACGCCACATGTTCGCACAACGTACGGCTAACGTACAAATACACTCAACAACTAATGACACAAAATGATGGTGCACTTGTCATGTGATCTGGAGCTAGAAGAGACACTATCAGTCCGAAAGTGTTTCAAAATATAATTTGTTCTCTCTGTCATTTATAGGACCTCCCGGTCTTCCCGGTGCTGCAGGCCCCCCAGCTCCACCACCAATGCCAGGCCCTTGCCCAGTCGTGTGTACTCACACATGCATCCGATCCTGCCCGCCGCCATGTTGCCGTCGCTGAGTACCTGAAGACAAGTTGCGTTTGAGCGATCCTGTTGCTTTAGTTTATAACAGTTTGAGAATGGAGTTTTCTTTTTCACTAATAAAATGATTTGTCAAAACACACTTGTTTGGTTTTTGTTTGAACTTCCTTTTTCACTAATAAAAAGATTTGTCAAAGAAACTTGTTTGGTTTTTGTGTGAGCTGTCTTTTTCACTAATAAAATGATTTGTCAAAATAAAGGTGTCCCGTTTTCTCTGGTTAACAACAACACACTTTATTCACCCCATTTAGAAGTTTATATATATAATTATAACAAATGAACAGTTGTGTAAAAACATTCCAAACCATAAAAACCATATATTTGATGCTTTCTTGAATTTCATTGAAGCTCACTAATTTTTACTCACTGAGAAAGCAAACTCAATCAGTTTCAGTGTCTTTATAGAGTCGAAAATCGTTAGTTACATACATAATTTCGTGCCTTCCATGATCATCAACATGAGTACTGTAACTGGTTCTTCTCATGGTAATAGTTATCTTATCTACATTTCTGCACATTTTCTATTTCCATTTCTCAATATGGGAAACGTTCCATGGCTTACGAGTTACATTTCTTGTTACCTACATACACTGTACATCTAAATACACCAGATCCTCATGAAACTATCTTCAGTGTAACCAAACTTACCATATCTTAAAAATGGACTGAAATTTGACAAGGGCCTTCAATGTATTTTTTAACTATTTAAAAAGTTTCAAAAGGAATAGAAATTGTAAAAACATCATATCGAAGGGGTTCCAAAGTGGATATTTGACGCATTTCTTACTACATATGGCGCACGGTCCCTTTTATTGCCGCTTTGGAATTCCAAACCTGGCCTCCAATACCTGCTTTACTTTTGGACAATGTAGCTTGATTATGATTGTGATGTTTTATCAACAATCGGCCAAAGATCGAACTCATAGCTAGACTACAGTCCCCCTGTTCAAAATGAACTTATCGCCGCCATTTTGGTCAAGCAGCTAGCATTGGGATTAAAGGGAAACTCCAACTGCAAACTTGTCACCAATTCCCAAATCTAAATTATCGGCGTTTAGCGTTGGAAAAAATAACTTAAAAGGGACCAAAATAATAAATAAAAAGTTATGATATACTGCGCGATATCAGTTATAACACACACTGGGTTTCAGGATATTTAACCATGTTGTGACATCAGAAGGATTGACGCTAACTGAAGGTTTTCCATCGCTATTGGTGCTGACGTAGGCGAGAGACATGACGTTCTTCAAGGTATTGAAAATGCAGGCATTTGTGGCACACTTGAATACGAATTCGTCGTAATGGGTGAGCTTGTCGATATGCTGTTAAAAGAAAAATGCAATTAGAGTTCTTTAAGTTATTGAAATAAATAAACTGCCCTGGATTTTGTGCAATCACTTTCTCAAGTTTCGATCCTTCGCCTTGTTTACACAGAATTCCTTTTGCACCGTATTTTCCATGCCCTCTTTGGGAATGCGTTGATGATTGATGATACTCTACAGGTTTGCCCAGTCGAAAGTGCATTCAAGTGTCATTTAAAACAAGCCGCTTCGCATAGATCGCATCGCGTCATTTAACGCTTCGTTTAAAGAATCACAAGAACGATTCAATCTGGCCTACACGTATATACAGAGGTTCCTCAAGGGGAGGATAAAGGCCTTTTTCCAGCCCAAACCTTGTGCAGATCCCATTTCCCAGCCCAAATTTTGCCATTTCCTAAACTATTTTTTGTTCAAATTCCAGCCTAATACCCTGTNTTTGACCCATATTTTTTTCATGATTGCCCAGAGAATTCGGTGGTTAAACGAGACAACGTCCTCTGGTTGATGATTTTCTTTATTCTCACAACCTGTCTGCTTGTCAGTGTCATGATATTGCGAAGAGAAATTAGATGCCAATCTATGGGAAATAAAATTGCTCAGGGAGTCTCAATAAGTGGCATAACAAAAATGTCCTTTTTCTCTTGTTAGATGGGTTTACGCTTACTGCTGGTGTTGGGTTCCGTCCTCTACATCGCTTCACTCGCCTCAGCGACGTCACTCGGTAAGACGTTTAACGTGTGTTTAGCACAAACAGTTCATTATGCCACTGGCTATTACTGCATCGGTTTCATTGCAGCTGCAAAGAGCTTCCCCGGGAATTTCTTAGACAAGAAAAAGGGCTTGCAAAAAAAGTAACACGGAATAAAGCCAGGAGGGAAAAGTGAAATTATGATGTGACTTTTTTATCACGGAGTTAATACTCTTTGAACTGAAATTGACCAGCCGTGTGCTAGTTGAATGGAACGATCGTCTTTGATTGGTCAACTGAAGGTGACCCGTTCTATTTCTGGCTCAAGGCAACACCGTTAATCATTCATAAGTAATGAGGAGTTCTGTTGAGGAATTCTCGGTTTGCTTTTTTTAAGAAAATCATGGAAAAGCTGCTTTCATTTTGTAGATTCAAGATAGACTAGTTTATTACATTAATTTGTCTGTAGAGTAAGAACTTCATGAACAGAAAACCTTTTCGAGTCCATTCCCTTAAGGATTAAGTTTAACCCTATGTCCCTCGCAGTGCTTTTCATTTCTATATTTCTTATTCCAGTGGACTGCGAATAGATTGAGGGCTTCATAGATAAAATCATTTGGAGTGGCATTTCCTAATTAAACCAGCTATACCTTTCTCATAGTCGAAATAAAATTCTCTGTACTGAGCTAAAATTCTCTGTAGCTGACGATTTTCTAAGTTCTCGTCATCCGATTGTTGTCAGAGTATTGCAAGAAGAAAGTAAGGGCTGTTTTGTTCACCTTGAAAGGTGCATCGCTTTGTAGAACAACAAACCGAAATAATTAATTCAGTTAATGGCATAATACCTGTTGTCATAACTGGTCATAATATTTGAGCTGCTTGAAAAAAAACCTCTCATCCGTTTAAAGTTTTTGGCTGCAGATCCTCGCAATTCTTATGTGTTTGTCTTTTTTTTTTCTTTGTTGCAGAACAACTACGGCACTACAAAAGAAGCCCCAATCCGTGTCCGCCAGGATGTCCCGCATCCTGTGCTCCTTCTTGTAATGTACAATGTTGTCAACCCGCTCCTCCACCACCCCCACCCCCACCACCTCCACCACCACCTCCCCCTCCCCCGCCACCACCTGGTCCTCCCGGAATGGATGGACCAATGGGACCACAAGGACCACCCGGACCAGATGGCCCTAAGGGGCCTTCCGGGCCCATCGGACTTCCAGGCCCTGTCGGTCTTCCCGGACTTCCCGGGGCCCCAGCAGGTAGGCATTGTAGAGAGTCTGGATGTCTCAACTACCAGTGTATTTTGCAGATCTCGAACTCAGGTGTAAATTTTCAAAAACGGTTCAATTGTAATCTGACAGCGAAAATTTCGAACAACTCTCAGCTCTCAGTTCTACCTCATTGTGCCTCATTGTGCCTCATTGTGCCTCATTGTAACGAACGAGTACAAGATATTTCCGAGAGGAAACTAACTGTAGGCACATGTAAAGAAAGAGAGTTATGCAACAAGCACCAGAGCTGGCCAGGCGTAAAAATATGAATGGTGATGTAGAAGTATGGAAGTATTGTTCAATAACGAGAGACCAGTGAGAGAAAATCAGCGGCCATCTGCTTGCAGGAATAATGTATGTCGCGTATGTTGTGCGTAGTAGAGGTGACTACACGACTTACTCTTGTTCAACCGATTGTGTTTCTCCAACCATAGGTCCCCCCGGACGTGATGGCCCCATGGGACCTCCAGGACCCCCCGGAAACCAAGGCGCGCCAGGCGATGCTGGACCACCTGGTTAGTCAATAATTGTTACTAATTGTGCAAATAAAAGATCCAATAAAAGGATTCTGAAAAGCATCAAATTACAACCCGATTATAGGTAAGATCCGTGATCCAAATTTTTCTTAAGATAAAACCTCAAAATTGCCAAACCGAACAAAGTTGGGACATGTTACAGGACGCCTGTCTATTATGCTGCCGAGAGTGCAACTTCTTACGAGAAAACTTGGGCTGCTGGCTTCTAAATCCAACAACTTTTCTCAAAGATTTAGCGTCTTCGATTTGTTATCTCAACTGAAACTGAAACCATACATTGCATTTGTAGCCGAACAGTGCCACATGTTCCAAATTGCGGTGACATGTTACTTGAATTAGAATAGAGCCCTTTCTGCAATAATTTCCCACAAGTTTTTATTTTTTGTTGACGCCACATGTTCGCACAACGTACGGCTAACGTACAAATACACTCAACAACTAATGACACAAAATGATGGTGCACTTGTCATGTGATCTGGAGCTAGAAGAGACACTATCAGTCCGAAAGTGTTTCAAAATATAATTTGTTCTCTCTGTCATTTATAGGACCTCCCGGTCTTCCCGGTGCTGCAGGCCCCCCAGCTCCACCACCAATGCCAGGCCCTTGCCCAGTCGTGTGTACTCACACATGCATCCGATCCTGCCCGCCGCCATGTTGCCGTCGCTGAGTACCTGAAGACAAGTTGCGTTTGAGCGATCCTGTTGCTTTAGTTTATAACAGTTTGAGAATGGAGTTTTCTTTTTCACTAATAAAATGATTTGTCAAAACACACTTGTTTGGTTTTTGTTTGAACTTCCTTTTTCACTAATAAAAAGATTTGTCAAAGAAACTTGTTTGGTTTTTGTGTGAGCTGTCTTTTTCACTAATAAAATGATTTGTCAAAATAAAGGTGTCCCGTTTTCTCTGGTTAACAACAACACACTTTATTCACCCCATTTAGAAGTTTATATATATAATTATAACAAATGAACAGTTGTGTAAAAACATTCCAAACCATAAAAACCATATATTTGATGCTTTCTTGAATTTCATTGAAGCTCACTAATTTTTACTCACTGAGAAAGCAAACTCAATCAGTTTCAGTGTCTTTATAGAGTCGAAAATCGTTAGTTACATACATAATTTCGTGCCTTCCATGATCATCAACATGAGTACTGTAACTGGTTCTTCTCATGGTAATAGTTATCTTATCTACATTTCTGCACATTTTCTATTTCCATTTCTCAATATGGGAAACGTTCCATGGCTTACGAGTTACATTTCTTGTTACCTACATACACTGTACATCTAAATACACCAGATCCTCATGAAACTATCTTCAGTGTAACCAAACTTACCATATCTTAAAAATGGACTGAAATTTGACAAGGGCCTTCAATGTATTTTTTAACTATTTAAAAAGTTTCAAAAGGAATAGAAATTGTAAAAACATCATATCGAAGGGGTTCCAAAGTGGATATTTGACGCATTTCTTACTACATATGGCGCACGGTCCCTTTTATTGCCGCTTTGGAATTCCAAACCTGGCCTCCAATACCTGCTTTACTTTTGGACAATGTAGCTTGATTATGATTGTGATGTTTTATCAACAATCGGCCAAAGATCGAACTCATAGCTAGACTACAGTCCCCCTGTTCAAAATGAACTTATCGCCGCCATTTTGGTCAAGCAGCTAGCATTGGGATTAAAGGGAAACTCCAACTGCAAACTTGTCACCAATTCCCAAATCTAAATTATCGGCGTTTAGCGTTGGAAAAAATAACTTAAAAGGGACCAAAATAATAAATAAAAAGTTATGATATACTGCGCGATATCAGTTATAACACACACTGGGTTTCAGGATATTTAACCATGTTGTGACATCAGAAGGATTGACGCTAACTGAAGGTTTTCCATCGCTATTGGTGCTGACGTAGGCGAGAGACATGACGTTCTTCAAGGTATTGAAAATGCAGGCATTTGTGGCACACTTGAATACGAATTCGTCGTAATGGGTGAGCTTGTCGATATGCTGTTAAAAGAAAAATGCAATTAGAGTTCTTTAAGTTATTGAAATAAATAAACTGCCCTGGATTTTGTGCAATCACTTTCTCAAGTTTCGATCCTTCGCCTTGTTTACACAGAATTCCTTTTGCACCGTATTTTCCATGCCCTCTTTGGGAATGCGTTGATGATTGATGATACTCTACAGGTTTGCCCAGTCGAAAGTGCATTCAAGTGTCATTTAAAACAAGCCGCTTCGCATAGATCGCATCGCGTCATTTAACGCTTCGTTTAAAGAATCACAAGAACGATTCAATCTGGCCTACACGTATATACATAGGTTCCTCAAGGGGAGGATAAAGGCCTTTTTCCAGCCCAAACCTTGTGCAGATCCCATTTCCCAGCCCAAATTTTGCCATTTCCTAAACTATTTTTTGTTCAAATTCCAGCCTAATACCCTGTATTTCTTTGTGATTCCCATTGCCAATGACGCAAATCTCATTTTGTAGTGAAGAAATAGGTAAATCCAGGTCATGGGCTCCTGGTAAATCCCAGTTCTCACTTTAACCCTTCCAGTCCCTCTAGTTTTATCCTATAGTTGTATCCTTTAGAAGCAGGGAAGATTAGGAACAACATAAATTGAATAACATATTTGTCCCTAAGGAAAATTCCCGAAAAATGGGCATTTTTGTTTTCGTCGTTGTTTTTCCGGTTGGTACGTTTCAAAAGAAAATTCCTGTCCTGACTCTGGAAAGCTGGTACACTACCTTAGACCAAACGCCTCTTAACAGATGTTAAAAACTACCAGCGCCTTACAAACGATTTGACTAACAATAGACGGACCTAAAACCGACCAATTTGACTAATAATATACGGACCAATGACTGATGACAAACTTTACACAAGTCTTTCAGCCAATACCATCATGGCTAAACTGACCAGTCACTTTCAACAGACCGGACTTATAACATCATCGACTGACAAACACTATTTACTTGACTCTGAAGATGACTTCCCCTTAGGTTGTCGAAACGTCAGTCACCAACAACAGTTCTTTTCAGAACTACCCTTACCCGGACGATTACACCATACGATTTACTAAAATTCCTATTTATTTACTATTTTGCATCTTTTTCCATTCGGCTTTCATGGCCATGCCAGTTCTGGCGTCTCAATCAAAATAGCGGGTTTTTGGGGGAAATGTCACATGGAACATTTTCTTCCCGAACGAAACCGGCAACCAAAATTTTCCGCTTTTATCCCAATGGAAAGCATCCTCGTTGTTGTTGTTGTTGTCCTGTAGGTCAACTCGTCGGAAATTACACTTTTGCATGAGAGCCCAACGCAAAATAAAAGCAGTCTGAGCACTTAATATCCTAAAATAAATTTTCACATAGCAGTTACCTTCCTTATTAAGCTATTAATTATCTTGCGGGTTCTTTCGATTCCCAATGAAAGAAGCGAAAAATGGTTTCTTACCTCGATGATCAAAGTCTTATTTCTAAATGCTATCGCGTATTGTTGTTTATAATTCCATCGCAAGGTGACAATTAGTGATCTGTTTATGATTTTTTTGACCATCAGAAATTCTGTAACAAACAACACAAGAAATCAATTTGACTGCAAGATTTTTACATGTAAGAGTAATACATAATTGAACTTAATAATTCGCTGCTGTTTTACATTCAATCAGCACCCATTTTCTAGTTTAACCTCTCGTCAAAAAGCAATTCTTATTTGAGGAGAAATCTCTCATTTAGGGAAAGATTTTCATTGGTGTGTAGTGTGACACTCAATGAATGGCCAGTTTCCTCCATGAGATGTGCCTGAAGGGAATCACGGTAGTTGTATTCATCAAAAGAAACTTCCAGTCCAAGATGATGAATACAACTACCATGATTCCCTGCAGGCACATCTCATGGAGGGAATGGGGCATTTTTAGTCACCATTTCTCTTAGCAGAAGAAATAATTGAGTGGAAGTTAAAATGATTCGTTCAGGAAGTGTTGCTCTTTCTTTTCTCGTTAATCACAAACAAAAATTTAAGGTCAGTCCCTCTTCGTCTCTCCTTGCGTGAGAAGTTGCTCGAAAAGTCGGCCTGTTTTGGAACTCTCTAATTATCTACAAAAGGTCGCGTCCACAAGTTCATAGAGGATTATTTTCTTAAGCCATTTTACTTAATTAATACTTAGAGTTCTCTACGTATGCATCGCAGAGCACTCACCGGTGTTGTTTGCAGAGTCATTGCAGGAACCAGTGAAGGACAACCGAGTCGGAGTAAAAGGCGCGTGCGACTGCAAATGGACAAGAAGTAGGTTTCCATTCCCCGAAGTTCCACTGCCTTGCTTCTGTCGGAAATAAGATTGAATCAGGCATTTTGTCATTTGTGGCTTTCCAGAGCAACAGCAAGAGATTACAGCTGTTAAAAGGCAAGCGAGTTGAACCTGTAAAGACGAAGATGTTCTGCAGTTAATGAAGAAATCCATGAACCTATGAAGGAAATACATAGAAAGACCAACAGCCTTGATAAAATGGGAATGCCATTCATGCCAAAAGCTCGAGCGAGCGTTTGGAGGTCTAGATCTACCCGGACTTCCGTTTGGTTAATCAATAGAGTACGTTCTGTGGGCCTCCTATAAATAGCGCCCCCGGATAGCCTGTTTATCGTTAGCTCTCAATAATGGCAATGGTAACAATATATTTTTTGAAACAAAAGTGTGCAGTCTTACCAACTCGAAGCTCAAGTCGAAGTCCAACTCCAACGCGACTATCAACGCGATGATTTACGAGGAAATAATCTTAAGAAAACTGAAGGACTTTGCTCTTATACATGTTTTCTTAGTTTTCTGGTCTGAAATGTTTCTTAGAGATGACTAATCTGGTGATAGAAAATTAAAGTAAAGTAACTCTTTTTTGCCGGACATTTGGGAATCACCGTACTTTGGGTTTTCACAAACAAGATCAAATTTCAAGATGCTGCATCTCCAAAACGAAGATTGTATCGACAGCCTTCGTAAAGCGATTAGTGTCAATAAAGTAATTTGACTGAACCCACAACTTTTCTCTAATTTTCCCCTTCAAGCAGGGTCTTGGTATGCGACGGGGTTAACCAATAAGATTTGCGGATTTCCTGTACGACAGGAGCCGGTGTCAGTATTAGAGATGAACTTTGTATACACACGCGCATTCCACGTGGTCTCAGCAAAGGCTTTGAAAAAAGAATACCGTTCAAAAAGCCCTTAGGTCTGCTTGTCAAAATCTAACTTCTCCCTGAGTTACTGCCATGCTCGGATGATCGGATAATCACTGCTATCGTGAAGTATTAAATAGAGTGGGAGTTTTTTACAGCACGAGTGTGGCACGTGCTCGCGGTCTCTTGTTCGTTCCATAACCAATTAAAAAGTGACGAAAGTCTTCCTTGATGTCCTTTCTAACTCTATACCAGGACTCGCACGCTATCTCTATTGTTGTTGTTGTTTTTTAAAAAAATTGTTCCGTTGTTTTACCTCGAAATCTAACATAACTTTGATTTGAATAAGCGAGCCAGCAAACTTTTACTCTTGCAAATGTTCGTTTTAGTTCTGTTCCACTCGGTATCATTATTTAATAGGACAGCGGGTCAATTTGATGACTGACCCCGCGAAAGTTACAGCTATATAAAAGCTCTTTTAAAGTAGTCAAAAATAGCTCTTGACCTCAAAAATATTAACTGATCGCCGAACAATTAACCGCCTCTGTTCACGGTCCCAAGGAATGTTTACCTCCAAAACAAGGGTAGTCTATCACGAAACTATTTGTGTCCTTTAGAAAGCCATTTTTAGGCCATATTGTCTTTTAAGTACTTCGCAGTCTGAAAGAAGGAATCAATGAACTTGTCTTTCCAGTGTAGAAGAGTTTCTTTATTGTTTCTATTTATCAAAACGAAATTAAAAAAATTAACATTTTTGGTCCAACAGGACCGCTAATTTAGCATTGCGCATGTCGGGTCTGTGAGTCTGGCAAAACTACCCTCATCCAAACTTTCCCACAGTTAAGAACAATTCAGAGATCATTGCAATCGAAGTTTTTTTGGAAGAGGAATCCCAACCAAGAAATTCAAGTTCAAAGCGGAGAGAAAAGAAAAACAAAAACAATACCAAATTCAATGTTTGAGAGATTGTAACAATGTCTTGATCACGAAAGATAAAACGGATCGCATTCCACGCAGAGAAAATAATGGCTTGACGCCTCACACCCACTAAAGGAGATGTTTGCATAAGTTGTGGCAAGAGTTTGTATGAAATGGCTTGAATTCGGACATCATATGGATAATCGTTGCTTTAAAAGCTACTCTAAGTGGCTGCGAAGGTACCGGATTCTGCTTTGCATCTAGATCTTAAGTTGTAATACCCAATTTTACTTGTTACCTTTCACCAGAATAGCCGGCGGTTGTATGGGCTGCTGAATTACCCAGACACCTGACGGGTGCTTTTCTCATTGCATTTGGAACAGTTAATAATGTCTTTTTTTTTTCAGCCCTCAGTAACAGTTCCTTACATTTGTTATCCAGTACAGTAACATACACAGAGACATTGGCAAGATCCTCGGCTATGCCTTGAATCTGCTGCAGAGATGATGAAAAAAACCCGATTTCTAACCGGTCATCGGTTTTTATTTTGATGCCTTTTCTCTCACTCGACCTCTTTGTCCCTTAGGCACCTTTTTACAGATAATATTATAAAAAAACACATTCTTAAAATGCAAACAAGCTGCCTTACAGCTTTTTGCACCAACTTTATCTCATCCCTAACAACTAAGACATTTCCCAACTGACATTCATGGATATCTTAACAATAAACCTCGTAGGTCTGTGCCAAGTTGTGGCAATTCCAGGAGTCATTCTCACCCTTCTTCATGCCCCCATTCAAGCAGCATCTCACATTCTAACTGCGTTCACATTCTCTACACTCTAACTAAGTTAGGGATAGAAAGTCATACCTTTCGTGTAAAAGCCAAATCTGTTATCTCTAAGACCTTCATCGCGTAAAGGACAAGTAACAAACCAGCTATTAATTATACAAGCTTGAGTTGATGTTACTTTCAGTTTGTTCTTCTTCCATCAAAACCCATCGATGAAGAATTTCTCCTCCCACGCAAATGAAAACACTGCTGGCAATTTATATCTTCTACGATAGGGGTGCACCTCGGAAAAATACCAAGAAGTACCCTCTGAGCGCTAATTTGGATATTTTTAACCCTCTTGCATGGTTTATTATGAGTGGCGGCACTATTAACTTTCTGGCGTTAACTAGGGAACGAGTTAATTAAACGATTGTCAACAGGGCGCATTATTTGAGCACATAATTATTTTAAGCTTGTTAGCTCGAGCTTTGCAAACTGTGTAATTAATACGTCATGAAAAAAAATCCCTATAAAAAACTTTATGAACAGCTTTAGATTAACAGTTATTACTTTATCACATTAGGAAAAGACATTTCCTGTTCCTGGAATACAACCTGTTCTTCGTCATTACCAGATGCAACAAAGTTAGATAGCCACACAAGAAGACAAGTCGGCTGATCTGTACCAACTGGACCTTTTTCCCTACCGCAAATAACCGTACGGGAAGACAAATACCATTGCACAAGGACCCATTCCGTGAAAAATGTTTTTGCACCTTTAACCCTAATCCAAACACATTATCGAGATAAGGAAACGCCGCGTTTCCTCCAATTAAACACGCGACATCTCCTAAGGAGTTCACAGCACGCGACGTCTTAAAAAACGCTTGGGATGTTTTCCTTCATAATCACTGCTGTTGGAGGAGAGTGTCTTCCAACCCCTCCCACGCCCCTCCAAATGATTTGAACAAGAACATTTTCGTTGAGTTCACATCAGTCTCCATGCCAGGAGGTAGCAGCTTGCAGGCGGCGGATACTTTAGCATCGAAATCCCAGAACAAATTAAATTACATCATGCACTGCTTGAGATATCGTTGGATTTTTGCCATAGCTTATCGACGACGATCGCCGGCGTACATGTGTAGGCGTGTGCACGTGTACAGAGCTGCCCTAAATGCCGGCTAGATCGGACGTCTTATCGGCAAAATTATGCCAACTATTTCTCCACATCAGCTCGCAAATCTGAGCTGTATTTTTTAACCTTAACTGGAAGTTTCTTCGTTTGAATATCCTTATCTAATTTGGTGGAGTAGAGAAAATCTGATCTTGGAGTTGTAACTGTTGTAAAATTTTGTAAAGGTACTTAACCCTGCTCTGGGAACCTTTTCTTAATTCTAAGTTTTTCGGTTCTGATCAGTTTGACATGAAATTAAAGCTCGGTTCTCACTTGCGACGCAAACATAAATATAAGCATAAACCCGATTATGAGCTGTTTGAGACGGCTGCGACACAAGCATAAGCGTTCTTTTATTCTTATGCTTAAGTAGCTGCTACGTTTAGAAAGGACATGTTGGCATAAGCATAAGGTGCTAGCTGATTGGCTGAAAGTCTTTCGCTTATGCTCATGCTTATGGTAATGCCACCCATGTCCCCACTAGTCATAAGTGCGACATAATCATAGGCATAAGCATTAAAAGAAGGCAAGGTTTTGATCTTCTTATACTTATGTTTATGTTTGACCGTGTCCACTAGTGAATTAGCTTCTTTATGCTTAGCTTGTGCTTATGCTTCCGTTGCAAGTGACAAACTCTTGAATAGATTCCAACGATGACCGTATGGACTGTTCAGTTGAAGATCTCGACAATACATGGCCAGAACAAGTGTAACCTCAATTGAGCCACTTTTTAATCTTGGCGTCGACCAGTGATTTGATATAAAAAAAGTATAAATCCTTTAAATGAACAGACCGCGAGGATTATCTAAAAATTAATCACGCTATCGAGATTTAGAGCGTTGAGACGAGATGCATCTTAATAACAACCTATTGCTCAAAGACGCTTTTTCCGATTTTCCAACATTTCAGGCAGGTCCCAGTTAGTTCTACGGATGAAGAGACAAAATGAACTAGTCAGCCATTTTTTCCACAACAAGGGAACAACTCGCCATTGTTTTCACAAATCAGGGACTAATATCTGTACACTTAACTCGATGGTCTTATAAAAAACACATCCTAAGATATATAATTACTAATGCGTGAATTCCAATTGAGCCAAGGTCACAAAGAACTTGAAAGACAATTGACTGAATCTTCCATCATTATCAAACTGAGGAGCACAGTCACGGTATCTTGAGTTATTTTGGCCGCGTACAAAACTATTTTTAAATTGAAGAAAACCTGAAAACAGTTGTTTACTAAGATAGAAAAACAACAAAGAGATGTTATTAAACCACAAAGGTACAACGATAGTTGAGGATGGAGAAGATTAAAACGGATTACAAAAGACGAACTTGAAAAATTTAGGCCGGCTTAACTGTTCAAGATGCGCAAACTGTAACGTAGTTCTTTGAAACCTGGTTGTCACTAAGACATGAGCAGAAGCAGCAGCATGACGAAATTGAGGGCGCCCACAATAAAATACTCGTAAATCTGGTCGTAAGTAGTTTTTTCGAACATTTTTGCAACTGTCGGAATGATAGATATTGGCAGGCAATTGTTTGGGTCGCCCCTTTTTCCCTCCGTGATGAAAACAAGGGTCACCCTTGCCGTTTCCACTGAGCTAGAAAGATACCAGTGCTGATCGACTTTGTAAATGTTTGTGTGAGGGATGGTGCGACTATGTTGCCAGCCATTTTTAGAAGTTCGATTGGAATATTATCTAGGCCCGCAGCTTTCCTCTCATTTAGTTTAAGCAACGGTTTGCGAACTACGTTCACCGTTGGATCTTTCAGAGAAAACGTAGTTTCAGTTGGTTTGAGATAGGACTCAGGCTCTGCATTAGAAGACGGTATTTCTGAAGGTAGTCTCTCACCGATGCTTGGGAAATACAGATTTAATTCTTAGATCATCGCACAAGGTTCAGGTATAGTTTGTTCCCGAACTTTAATTTTCGAAATATCCTTTACCTTGTTTGAATGTCGTGAGGACAAATCGTTACTTAATTGCCACGCTTTTTTAGGATATAATTTCCTGCACTCTAGATTATCAGTGAACTATTTCCGCTTGGCCTTCTTAATTTCGGTACTTGTATGATTTCGGGCACGTTTGTATTGATACCATGTCAGAGAGTCGCCGTCCAAAGTTGCATTCTTTTTTAAGAACTCTTTTTTGTACGTTTTACAATGCAGTTGGTTAGTAATCCAAAAAACACCCTAAGATAAAAAAAAAATTACTTATGCGTGAATTCGAGTTGAGCCAGCTTGAAAGAAAATTAACTGAATTGTCCCTCAGTCACGGCATCTTAAGTTATTTTGGCCGCGTACAAAACTATTTTTAAATTGAAGGAAACCTGAAAATAGTCGTTTATTAAGATAGAAAAACAACAAAGAGATATTATTAATCCATAAGGGTACAAGGATGGTTGAGGATGGAGAAGATTAACACGGATTACAAACGACGAACTTGAAAATTTAGGCAAAACTTTACAAGATATGCAAACCGTGACAAAGCTCCTTTTTAAAGCCTGCTTTTCAATACAAGATAAGCAGAAGCAGAGGCATAAGCATCAGTAGGACGTCCATGACACAAGCATAAGTACAAGTACAAGCAGAACAAAAGATTTTTTCCCTTCGTGCTTGCGATTATGTGCTTTATGTCAAGTGAGAATGCGCTGCTATAAGCATGAGCGTACGCGAAAGTCTGCCATCTTGTTTTACTGTATTCTGAAACTGTGCCAGTTATCCATTTTGCGGATGTCTATGTGCTTACGCTTGTATTGAAGGCGTCTGCCGTATGCGTATGCCTTATGCCTATGTGATGGTGAAAACTGACCAGAGCGGTTTTCAGGTGAGTGTCTAAAGTAATTAGGCAATTACTTTTTGGTTTTACTACGATTTAAGAGTGGCTGAGTAGTCTAATCGGTAAGAAATTGGTTTGGTTTTGGTTTTACGACACTCAATTGAAAACCGCTCTAAAACGGCTGAGGTTTTTTCATATGGCACTAGTTAATCTCAGATCAATTAGTTAATCAGATCAATAGGCTAGTTTGAATAACCAGCCTATTATTCAGTTTTCATCGACATGTATCGGACGTTTCACTAAGGTACCCTTTGAGATGTAATTGTTTATTGCATTGATTGAGTTGAGTTGTCAAGCCGGTCTCTGATTTTGTGGCTGGAGCCAAAATGAAATTTTTTCATTTGCAATTGTCACATTTACGTCACTGTTAGGTGAAGACAGTGTTGGCGTCATTTGGGACAAATATTAGCTTCTTACCCACATGTCAGCCTTTTATACCTGTAAAGTACGTAACTGGTGCGTTTTAGACCTTTGGTCTCTTTTAGCCTCGTCGGTGCTTTATTAAAACTTAGTTATTCAGGGATGGCGGAGCGTAGTTGGTATTGGGCGGGGAACGTACAAGCGAGCGCCTTGTAGGGGGTCT